AAGGGGTTTAAAACAATTTAGTAGATTAGATAAAATAGATAAAAAGGAGAAAAAGAAAAAAAAAGAGGAGGGTTTAACAAAAGGCGACGAGGATCTTCAACCTGCTCTTTAACTGTTTTCAAAAATGTTACAGCTTCACGGCCATCAATCAGACGGTGATCATATGTTAGAGCAATGTACATCATTGGTCGAATTTCAATCTATTGAATCATAAAATTAAAATTAGCCATTAGTCAAAAATAATCAAAAAAAAAAAGTAAACGTTCATAATCTGTTCATACTTTTCCATTGATTACGACGGGACGTTCCTTTGTGGCATGCATCCCTAATATCCCGCTTTGAGGCAAGTTAATAATTGGAGTCCCAAGAAGAGAGCCGAATACACCACCATTAGAAATAGTGAAGGTACCCCCAGCCATATCTTCGATGGTCATTTTCCCATCTCGAGCCTAAAAAAAAAAAAAAAAATAAATAAAATAAAAATAATAAAATAAAATAAAAATAAAAAAATAAAATAAAATAAAATAAATAAAAATAAATAAAAATAAATAAAATAAAAATAAAAAAATAAAATCAAACTAAAAATACATTTAAATATTGACAATTTAACGGATAGAAGCATACCTTTTGACCTAATTCAGCAATAACCTTTTCAATTTCTATAAATGATAATAAGTGGGCGTTGCGAATCACAGGAGTCACAAGACCCTTTGGCGTAGCAACCGCAACACTCATATCAACGTAGTCCCTGTATATGATGGTATCACCAGACTCCGCTATAGATGCATTGACAGCTGGAACTTCTTGGAGTCCAAAAGTGGATGCCTTTACAAATGCAGACATAAATCCAAGTTTGATACCATGTTTCTTGAGGATTGCATCCTTGTAAGTATTGCGAAGTTCAATAATGTTGCTAAAATGGCATTGATTTAAATTTTACTTATAACATGAAGATAATTTGTTAGGATAGTTTTGATAAGTGCATACGTCATGTCAATTTCGTTGAAGGTTGTCAATGAGGCAGCAGTATTTTGTGATTCTTTCAAACGTTCGGCAATTCGCAAGCGCATTCTGTTCATCTTGACCTAAGTAACAAAGATTTTTTATTATTAACATGGTAACACCTTACTTTTAATTAACAAATATACAAATATTTAGGATAAAACATACTTCACGATCTTCTCTTTTACCGAAAGGAGACACATCGTCTTTTGCCTTACTTGAAGGTTGTGATGGTTTCTGAGGTGCGGAAGGTGGTGGTGTTGGAGGTTCAGAAGGTGGTGGTGTTTGAGATGCGGGAGGCGGAGGTGGAGGCGTGGATGGAGTTGAAATTTTGGAAGGAGTCTCAGAAGGTTTTGATTCTAAGAAAGGTGTATTAATTTACATAAGACATATATAGTAATGAATTTTAAAGTATACATACCTGGAGGAGGAGCATCTTCCTTTTGTTTTGACACTGGTTCTGGTTCTGGCGTTTCTTTTGGAGAATCCACTTTTGAAGAGTCCGCTTCTGATTCTATTATTTACATATAAGTACATCATGACAAGATTAACTAAGATAATAAGAAGAATATAAACGTACCAGCAGAAGCAGCATCCCCCAACTCCACCTTGCAAAGATCTTGACCCACAACTACGTTATCTTGTTCATTTGCATATAATTCGAGTATTTTACCAGAATATGGGGAATTAACTGGAGCATCGACCTTATAATAAAATTAATGAGTATTTCAAAAAATGACATTTGATACAAAAACTAAATAAATCCAACCTTGTCAGTTTCTATCGTCACAATTTCCTCATCCTGTTTCACGAAATCACCAGCCTCTTTTTATGGAAAAACGGGTTAACGTTAAGTATATCAATAAATAATCAGCATTGGCATTTAAAGCATGAAAAAGCGAAATACTTTTGTTCCATTTTGCGAGTGTGCCTTCAGAAATTGATTCGGCTAACGGAGGAACCTTTATTATTTTTGTGGCTATATTTATTGGATCATTTAAGAGAAAAAATAAATAATTTTATTTTATTAGCAGATCGGGAGGCAAAAATAAAGTAATTACTTACCATACGATCTAATTTGCGCCTGAACAAATAATGAATGTGAGGCACAGTTGTTAGACGAAACTAAGATGACGAAAGGCGAAACCTAACCTCTCGAAAAACGAAACTGACGAGGCTTCTGCGAAAGACACAACCCCTTGCGAAACCCCTGCGAAAGACGAAACCTCCGAACATCAATAAACGATGAAATATATAAAAAAATATGAAAAATATGTATTTAATAGTCGAAACTAAGTGAAAATAATCTTAAATTTCATCAGATTTAGAATTTAATACAAATTCTGTAGTACATATATAAGATTAACCATATATAGAAACGTCAAAAAATTTTAGTGTAACATTTCCATTTATAATTGAAGATCTGATTAACAATGTTTAAATTTTTTTTTATCGTTATCTACGAATTTTTTTATCGTTATCAACGTTGTCTTACTCTAGATTACCATTATATCGATATCTTATCAGAGTGTAAGAACGAGCAAATGCACAAATGTTGTGTCCAACATGTTAGGGTTAATACTTCCAATAATAAAGGTACGTACGTACGCAAATCTGTCACCTGAGGCATCAAATTTGCCAATATTACTGTATATCGATATTATGTACGTACGTATTACGTACATGATTTAAATTTTATGTAAACTTTTTGCACGAATAGGTCTAGGCGAAAGCTACGGACACAACACTCACGTGAGAAATCCGGCCATTGTCGTGCATCTAACCTTAACTTTAATGCTAATTCTGGTCATTGTCCGTAGCTTTCCCTTAGGTCTGTATGTTCATAGTAAGTCCTGTCATATGATTAATTTTTCCGTGTCTGAAATGATAATCGCTTTTTAATCGTTAATCGATTCTCATTTGTGTAGAATCGGCATAGTGTTCCTAGCTGGTCAATCGATTAGTTGCGATAGTTGCAACTATAGATGCTGGTGAAACTAAATAATGCTGGTGAAACTGGTGACTATCTAAAATCTGATTGGCTGTTATATTAAATTTCACCAGTTTCACCACCATTCACCAAGAGTTTCACCAGTTTCACCAGCATCTATAGTTGCAATTAATCGATTTTTCATATCATGTGACTAAATTCGTCGATTAGCCAAAAATCAACACGGAATATCTCGGAATTGGAAAGGTTGATAAGTTTTAATTTGATGTACATGAAGTTACACGAAACCGATATACATAAATGAGTACGTGAGAGTGAAAACGATCATAAATCGGTTTCCAGGTTTTCACCTCACGCACTCAAATCATTCCCTTTTCTAAAACGATTAGTTGGAAAGTTGCCAACTAGTTGATTTTCAACTAAACGATTCGGATCATTAAATCGGCATATAATCGTATATTCAATGTTTAAAATCTAAATTTCTTAATGATCTTTCTGTTTTGGGTAAAATATAAATGGCTAGTATCTTTTTTTCAGCCATCTTATAACGATAATGGCTAGTGTTTTTAAACTACCCCAGGATCGCCAACAAAATTTCTATGTAATTTTACCATCACGTGATGATCGACGAAAATAAGCCAATAATGAATCTCGATTTGGTGTAACGTCACGCGATCAGAAA